CAAAGTACAGGATAGTTCTAGAAACGTGGCGTCACAGTAGTCATGTGACTCGCTGACGCAACATTATGTTTAAATAATAAATAAAAGACTTCTCTTCTAAAGCCCTCGAGCGTTTAGCTCGTTCCTTGGAGTTGTGTAACTGATTTCTTATGATCTGTGGTTAATTTCTTTCAAAAATTAGCGAAAATCTTCACAAAGGCTAAACACACCCAATTGTTGAGTTGATAGATTAAAGGAAAGGCAACTAACCAACAGCACCTACCGTCAACTCTTGGGTGCTCTAATCGAGTAGTAGTATTTCACTCTTATAACGCATCCACGACTTTAAAGTGTGGAACGTGATCTTGCGCCAACAGGACATGAACCACGAACCCTCAGATACCCATTGATCCAAGGAGCCATCTCACTTAGAATACTGTAAACATGGTTGTAAGTGTTAGCCACGGCCATTGTTGTAGCGTGTAGGTTGTTCTAAAATGAGACATTATAATTAAGGATGTTTCTTACTGTGTTGTAGCGTAATGATTATGAGACGATGGCACAGATTTAAAAATGAATGAGCCATTAGACAAGAGCCCCCCCCCCCCCAGTGGCTAGAAACCGGGTTTCGATACCCGTGTTGGCCAGAGCACAGATAGCCCATTGTGTAACTTTGTGCTTAATTCCAAACAAACAAACAAACATTAGACAAGAGCCCCCCCCCCCAAGTGGCACAGCGGTATGTCTGCGGACTTACAACGCTAGAAACCGGGTTTCGATACCCGTGGTGGGCAGAGCACAGATAGCCCATTGTGTAGCTTTGTGCTTAATTCCAAACAAACAAACAAACATTAGACAAGAAATACAGAAAAAAAAAAGTTGGTTCTGTATAAACGTAAATATGATCTGAAGTTGAAAAATAAACCAAAATAAGAGTCTATTGTGGCGCCGTCCTGGCGTGTTGAAGGTTAGTTAGAATATCAAAAACACAAAATATTATTTTTGTTCTCAAACTTGCATTCAATCCCAATAAGAAAAATTGTCTCGTCTGTATTAGTTTTTGTTTTTGAATTTTGTTGAAGTTCATTAACAATACTTAGAATTCTCAAACTTGCTAAACGTGAAATTTTACCAATTTCTTTCATAACTTATCTAAAAATCTACAATAGTTGTCTTTGATACTTCCCAGTTAAGCAACGTTTACGAGTCTTTCACAACTTCTTGTCGAACCAGACATTAATATACCAATAAAGTCGACTAGCTCCGCCTACATCTCAAAGAATATACCAAAAAAAGTAGTCCTGCTTCTAGTCTGTCCGAAGATTCTGCAACTTCACTTTAAAATAAAATAAAATAATCATTTCTAAACCATTCTTTTTCTTGGGAGTGTTTTATCTTTCTTTACTTAATTGGTCTAACGCACGTGTTCCAGTTGCAAACAAATAAATATTTTGTTTCTTTTAGAGCGAAGCCACATAAGGGCTGTCTGCTGTCGAGCTCCGAATTTTAGCGTTGTAAGTTCGTAAACTTACCGCTGTCCCACCGGGGGACAAATAGTTATACATCATGGGCACAACGGACACAGAATCACATTTACCTAAAATAAAATGTCCCTCCCCATTTGGCTCAAAAGTTAAGTTTGAGGGCTTATAACGCTAAGAGTCGGACTTCAATACCCGTGGTGGGAACAACACAGATAACT